AAGAAATTCCGAATTCAAAAATGATTTTAGGCTTAAAAGCATCTGACGTGGCTTCAAATAACACTACTAATAACAACGTGTCTACATGGAGGAGACTAGCTTATCTAACATGCAATTGCCTAAGCTACCTACTAATGATAATAACAAGACTGAACCCACATACAATTCTCACCAACAAAGTACTAAAGACCCACTAATCACTGGAGTTAACCCCCCTAGTATCACCAATAACAACAATATTAGTTGCATGGAAGAAGATGGTGCCCCACAACACCTGTCCCACAAGAACCTCTTGGTTGCATAATTGGCCAATAAAGAGCAACACGTTCCTTACCCTATTACTACACCAAATCCTTTTAAAGTTTTATCGTCCACAAGCAACCAAAGTATGCAAATAGATCCGATCATTACCAACCTATCTAATTCTACTACTCAAACCCCTTCCCCTTCTACCAACTTATCCCCTATAGAAAATATAAACCAATACTCCGGCAATAACTATGCCAAGAATACCAATATCCCAAAGGAGAAGGTCCTGACTTGTTCAATTCTAAGACACCAAAGAGCACACACAATGGTCAATCCACCACCAAACTTGAACACTCAGACAGGAAACCGAACGATTTTCTTCATTCAACCACCCCTACCTCAAGACCACCAACCACTGTCTTTGATAGAGCAAGCACTAATGGGCCATGCAATATCGTTCAACATGGTCCTGGAGGGTCAGGAGACAATAATCATTCTCCAAAACCCATACTCCTTGGCCCAGCTAGTATCCGAGGGGATTCACACTACTTCAACCATGTATGGTTGAATAATATTCTCCACCCACTAGCCCCTACAATGAATGCAAACCAAGCCCAGGTAATGAGGAACCAGTGGAACCTTCCTCCACACTTCAACACTCTACAGCCACAGAACATGTCAATGGATCTCCCTTTCTTCCCACTAGGGGAGATCTCGAACCTAAACCCAATCTTCATGCCATAGGCAGCAACTCAAAACCATGCCTAAAACCAAGCCTATGCTACGCCACCAGTAAACCATGCACCACCTCATGCACCCCATCCCAATGTACCAGAACCAGAAGACCATCAAGTGGGGAATGCAGAAGAGATGAATTTGCTAGGATCAGAGGAAATAATAGAATTTTCAATCCTACACTAAGTAAAGGTATATCTCTTCAGGAAAATGCAAGAAAAAAGGTATATTTTCAGCTGCCCCCCCCGGCTCTATACAAATGCTCGATGGACATCAGGCCACCACAGGATCCAACAGTGGGGAGCCATGCAATGATATTAGTTCCCTCACTAAGGAGGAACCCAATACTCCATGCAAGAATGGAGAATGGCTCAATCAACAACCATGCAGCGATGATGTATCGACCAACTAATATTATAATCTGGAAGATACGGGGTGGTAACAATGATAACTTTCGTGTTAATTTTAGAAAAATTGTTGATACTCACAAACCATGCATGGTGACACTGTTGGAAACTCGAATGGAAAATCATGTCTCTCTCTTAAATGACTTTGCATTTTCGGAGATGATTGACGTCCCATATGAGGGACAAGCCGGTGGAATAGTCATCTTGTGGGATTCTAGTAAAAAGTTCACAACTTTGTTAGGAGGAACCAAGAAATCCACACCACTGTTGAGGTACTCTCTACTCAAACTACTTGGCTATTCTCCTCTATCTATGCTAGTACTAAACTAGATAAAATATGTGAATTATGGCATAATATTGAAAATATTTATAGTAACTATAAGGGTCCTTGGCTATTAGGGGGTAATTTTAATGATACTTTTAGTGTAAATGATAAATTTGGTGGGAACTCCATCAATCGTAAGCGTAGTTATTTCTTATGGAATAGTACTAATAATTGTAACCTTATAGATTTAGGATATAAGGGATGCAAATATACCTGGTCTAATCATAAAAAAAAATCTAGGGGTTTAACCATAGAAAGGCTTGACAGAATTTTTGTTAATAACGATTGGTTGTCTTTATTTTCTAAGTCAGTGGTTATACACCTCCCTAAGACTCATTCAGACCATAATACCCTATTAATCCAACTCACCCCGAGGAATGTGAATTATAGTGGTAAAATAATTAGATTTGAGACAATATGGTATAGGCATCCCGACTTCATTAACATTGTGAAACATTGCTGGACTAGTAACGACCTTATTAGTGCTCATAAATCCTTTAAAGAGATAGTTATCAAGTGAAAAAATGAAACATTTGGAGATATCTTCAAAAAGAAAAAAAGGTTATTAGCTCGTCTAAATGGGATTCAATATTTTCCATCATACCAAAAGAGTTTTTTCTTGCAAGATTTAGAATCTCAATTACAACTTGAGTACAAAAATATTCTTAAAATGGAACAAGATTATTGGAAACTTCGCTCTAGAATTTCTTGGCTTAATGATGGAGATGCAAACACAAGATTCTGTCACATAATGGCCTCCAACCATAAGCGTCTTAATGCTATTATGTATTTCACTAATGACAACGGTGATTGGATTTCAGACCCTAAGTTAATCCTAGACCATACCCTCACGTACTTTCAAAACACCTTTAAAACTTCTAAATCCATCACCCATAAAAATGCTATCCTAAAAGACCCCACATGCCATACCAATGTAGATTTAACTAGCCTTGACATGCCTCTATCAAATACTGAAATTACTAAAGCTATTGTTTCCTTTAAACCCTTTAAAGCCCCCGGTCTAGATGGTATACATCCCTTTTTCTATCAAAAGTACTGACACATTATTGGAGATTCTGTTATTAATTATTGTCATAACGTGTTTGAAACCCAAACCTTTCCAACAGGTATAAATAAAACCTTTATATGCCTCGTACCTAAATTTGCTAATGCTAACAATCTCAAATATTTCAGGCCTATCGGTCTATGTAATACTTCTTATAAAATTATTACCAAGATCATTCCTAATAGGATCAAACCATTCCTCCCATACCTTATTAGTCATCTCCATTCCAGTTTCATTAAGAACAAAAGAGCTAGTGACAACGCAATTATTATCCAGAAAATTATGAATAATCTTCGTAGTTCAAAAAATTTCAACTTTGATATGTTGATAAAAATGGACCTTAAGAAGGCTTTTGATAGACTAAAATGGTCTTTTGTCTATAGAACTTTAAGATGTTTCAAATTCCCCCCTCCCCCGAAATGATCAAATTAATCATACATTGTATTAGCACTAGCTCCCTGGGAATCCTGGTAAATGGTTCTAGAACAAATTTCTTTAGTCCTAGTCGAGGTATACGCCAGGGGATCCTATATCTCCATATGTCTTCATCCTTTGCCTTTAGATACTCTCAAAGCTCATAAATCATCAAGTAGACATATTGTGGTGGGATCCTATTAAAACAAATCATAAGGGCCCATCCTTCTCTCATGTTCTATTTATGGACGATATTACTCTATTGGGAAAGGCTAACCAAAACACTAGGCAATGCATAAAATCATGCATGGACCATTTTTGTCAAGAATCGGGGCTTTCCATAAATTACTCGAAATCAAAAATTATCTTCCCAAAAAGTTGCCCCTTGGAAATTACCTCTTATTTCACAAATCTTTTTGGCATAAAGTCAAGCCACGAATTTGATAAATACCTTGGCTTCCCAATCCTAAATCACAATTCAAAACCAAAAGATTTTCAATTTGTATTAGATAAATTGCGTACTAGTTTGTCCCATTGAAAATGTTCCTTCCTAAATATGGCTGGATGGACAATATTGACCACAAGTACCTTAAGTGCTATTCCTACCCATTCCATGCAATACAGATTACTCCCCATCAAAATCCTTAAACAAATAGATAAAATACAAAGGGATTTTATTTGGGGATCCACCAACTCTTCTAGAAAATTACATCTTGTTAATTGGCAAATGGTCACAAAGGATAAAGTTGAGGGTGGTCTTGGTATACGCTCAGCTGCATCCAAAAACATCGTCTTGTTAACAAGCCTCACTTGGAGACTCTTGCAAAATCCTACTACCCCTTGGGCACAACTCATTTCTCTAAAATATGCGCGGAAAAAGTCTATCATTAACACCTCATTCATTTGGAAGGATATTCTTAAAGACTGGAAAGTTTGTAATGAAGTTATATTATGGCACCCTTGTATAAACTCCAATATTAACATCTGGTCCTCCAAATGGATTTATAACTCTAATACCCTTAGAAATTCCATATACGACCCTCTTAGTAAGGATGACCAAAATATTTCCATAAAAGATCTTATTAAGCAGGACCAGTGAAATATCTCTAATATTTCTTTTGAATTGCCCTCCACAATTATTAATAATATTTTTTTTAACTCTGTTACCTAATAATGTCCTAAACAAAGACATTATGAGTTGGGGTCCTAATTCAAATGGATTATTTTCTACAAAATCTTGCTACAAGCTGTTAAATCATAATAACACTTCTAACACCACCTTTACCTGGATTTGGGACCTCCGTTGTCCTAACAAAATCAATTACTTTCTTTCGCAATGCATGCATCGTATTTCTTGTCAAGCCTTGTTAGCATATATTGGCATTAATATAGATGCCACTTGCACGATCTGTAAGCAAAATGTGGAAGATATCCAGCATATCTTTATACTACCCAGCTACTAAACGCTTTTGGAACAAAATGGGCATTCCGACTCAAACTATCGATAATAACCCTCACTGGTTGATAAGCCTTAAAGAAAATTTCATTCGGAATATCAATCATTCTTCAGGGTGGGACTCCTTTCTCCATATGGAACATTTGGGAAAATAGGAATAACAACAATTTCAACAACTTAGACCTTGATCTTAATGCCCAAAAAGTTATACAACAAGCCTGGGAATTTAACTTCTTTTCTGAAAAAAATCCTTCCAAAATCCATAAGATCAAAATTGAGATTAAGTGGGATAAACCACCGACTGGTACGGTCAAATTAAACATAGATGGTGCTTACTCAAAAACCACTATGGCAGCTGGACTAGGTGGAATATTTAGAAATAGCAATGGAGACTGGATCGTTGGCTTTCATAAATCATTTCATGCAACATCAGCCATACAAGCTGAATTAATGGCTTTACAGGAAGGATTAAAGATTGCAAGAGATATGAATTTCGTCGATATGAAAATTGAAACAGACTCAACAGAAATCATCAAACTCTTATATGAAGACAATCAATATCTTTCTAACACTATTATTGAATACAGGCTGTTAATGCACCGGCTGAAACTCCCAACTCTGAAATATAACTTCAGAGAAGGAAATGAAGTAGCACACCTATTAGCTAAAGAAGTTGTTAAAGACTTCTCCCCTATTAAATATTTTTACTATGCTCGTCCACCCCTTTTTGTTGAGCTAGAATTAATCAGGAACAAGCATGGAATTTGTAATAGTACTAAGTATCTTCCTACTACTGTTTGTAATAGTATTGCCACTTTAGGCAACAATAATGTCCTCAAGGACTATGCATTGTCTATGGAATCTTATGTTTAGTAATATAATGTCCGTTTTCCCTTCAAAAAATAAACTATAGTAAGAAGAAACATACAAAGGAAGAGGAGTTGGAATACCTATGTAGCATTTTCAGTTTAAAAAATGATATCATTTATTTTGAGTGAGAAAAAGTTGGAAGATATCCCACTAGGCTAACCCATATTTTACTCATGAATACCCATATTTCTACAAGTTGAATATGGGTTGAAGCCCAAATTTTACCCAACTTAAATATCACTCATCCAACCCACTAAAATATGGGCTAATTGGGTGGGTTGACAAAATATGGGCTCATTTTGCCAACACTAGCGTGACGTATAACTACGAAAATATGGGAATCGGACAGAATTCTAGTTTTATAGCTCTAAAAGTCGAAAAAAAAGAGTATCGGACATGGAGAGGCGGTGACCTCTGTTCCTTGGGTCGGATTTGGGCGGTGTTAAAAATTGGTTTAGCAAAAATGGGTTGGGTCTCAACTAGCCCATATTTCACGCGGGTCAAAAATGGGTTGGGTGTCAAATGGGCAGGTTAAATATGGGTTAACCTATATTATAAGTGTAATATTTTATCAAGTTCAATTTATAATTTTTTTTGCTCAGATTATTTAGTGACATAAACTTAACTCGAATAATATATACTCTTCTTCATTAAATGTCACGACCAAAAATCCACTATAGGTCGTGATGGCGCCTAACGCCGCCGTCAGGCAAGCCAACAGTGATTTATCACACTTATACAAATCTCCCCGTGGGGGTACGCTCCCACGATCTTCCGCTCAGGTAGCAAAGTTCGCACATCAATACCACCAACCGTACTAATTCTGTAAGGCAAATCACAATCCGCAAATCAATACACAATGCCTCTTCCACATAACACCATTCTCAGGCGACACTAAGATAAACCCAACTTACTCTATACATATGAATCCTCTCGTGCTCATCCGAACTCGTGACATTATTGTCGACACCAAACAACAACCTTGGTCCTCAACTTTCAAATTCCCATGCCTCTTACTGCACCTATCATGCCGCTATGCGAGAACACATGCATTCACCATAACCCTTGAACTACCAGTAAAATAAACGCTTCATAGGCTAGAAACCTTTCACTTAGTTCATTTCAGAAGAACCAATGCAACACGCAACTGAATTCCCAAACCGCAGAAAATACAAACCTCAAATCGTGATCTAAACCATCATGACTCTTCCGGAATCCATTTACACAACAAGGCCATTTAAATCAAATACCTCCCAAATCAATCAAGCCGTGGTGGCCCTCAAGCCCACACGTACAACCATAAACCATATGTATAACTTCACGCTGAAGGAACTAATCACTGCCACAATCATACTGATTCAATCATTATTAACCGACCCAACTTCTTTCAATTTACTCTTGAACTGACTTAGAAATATAACAGCTCCATTCGCAATATAACAAACTCAATTCGCACTCATCCTGAGTGACCCGAATCGCGAGACCGCGTCGTCTCAATACCCATTAATCATCTCATACCTCCGTACGCGCACAATAGCATCTCCAACTGGTGCACCCATTCTGCAAGACCTTCCGCGCATCCGAAGCTATTTTTTTCTTTCCTCCAATACTGCACCACATACCCAACGATAGCATAGAACATTCCAATTCTCGTCCGTAATCCTCTGTGAAAACACGATCCTTAACCATACAATGGACCCGAAATCCTTAGGCACTACACTTTAATACTTGAACCCACTAGAACCGTTATTGAGAGTCACACACTCTGACCTGATCCCGAATATCAGCAAACTTCAACGCTCTGCTAGAACATGAACACACTGTTGAAGAAGCAACCAGCATACGCTCAATCGATAAGGCGAAGTGTAGCACACATTTATCAAGTTCCTTGTTCGACTTACTCCTGACATTTCCTTTTTCCTTAGTCACAATAATCCACCAATACACCGATAACCAGGAACCGCACAAGCAAACAACCATGCGATCCAATCGTAGACGGTGGGGCTTCCCTACTTAGCTTTAAGCTATCATCACATAATGTAGAGCCCACAATGATTTTTCCTTCTCATTTACCATGATCCCACACCATTAACCCGCCAAATTTCTCGAAGTCTTTTATTAAGCTTTCCATGAACATTCCGAATCATCAGTCACAGTCACACACTCGACCTCTTACCGGGTAGCAAGTAGTATTCTTCGCAGAAGCTTTATCAACATTACGCAACCGCTAACCTGCTCACAAGAGATAACCCACATGTGGAATCCCTTACCAACATCTTCCAATAACACTGCAGTGGGTACAACTACCACGTAATTAGTAAATTCTCCTGAGTTCATGCTGGCCCACCAGTTGTATAAGTCTGCTTCTTCCCTATTGACATCAACTGAAAGTTCAACAATATCTTCCGAACTTAAGTCATATTACATCTGGAAAGATAAATCAAATCTTTACACCCCTCTTCATTTCAAGCAAACTCTTTTCTGCCGTATTCGATCCTCCTCTGTACAACAACCACCATCCTAAATAAAATTCATAGACAAAATCACCTTCCATCACGATTCCCAAAATCGCTCTATACTCTCTCAAAGCACGTGGCTATCCTACCACATAATCTATATGTTACTCTGCCACTCCCACTTTGGTCAAACCATCTCCTTCAAGCAATTTCCCAACCTCTGTTGTTCATACTTGACCTGCTAGTGATTCAACTACCGCGAGATACTTCATACCATGTCCTCCCTCATACTTTGCTTCCTAACTACTGCCTTATACCAACTCCCTATTTGTAGCACTGGAGCTGATGAATTGCCACCAACTTTATCCTAGAAGATCATCCTTCCTGAGCCATCAACCTTAGAAATACCAATTGGATTCTAAAATGCCGCACACCGCTATCTCTGATAACCTCCCCACAGGCACCATTTCATAACACCCTGCCTCGAAGGCAAAAATCAAGAAGACCATACCTCAAGAGATCCTTAATGCATTCAAACAAGGACGACGACACTACATCACAATGAAAATTCCACCACGCTCGAAAATACCAAGTCTCGTTATTCCATCAATGAAAACCTGAACATCCATAGTCCGATTGCCTTTCCTTTGTTGGAATTAAATGCTAAACCTCTAAATCATGTACCAAAAAAATCTTTCTTTAAAGTCATTCACTGCCTTAACCCATAAACGAGCACCTTACCATTACACCAACATTGTGCGATAACAACGCATAGACATCGTAGTAATCTATGTACAGTCTCGAAACCAAAGAAAATACATATATTGAGCTGAAAAAAAGAACATCCTTTCGTAAAGCGACGGTAATAGCCTGCCCTAACATGCAGGAAAAAATATCCTACACCACGTCTGCAGTACCACCACAACTCCTCGACGCCCAATCGATAACAAGCATTTCGCGTCTCATAAGATTGAGTAGGAATGAAGTAAAGGCACAAGCCTCAATGGAATCAAAATGTATGATGAGGAAATCAAGATGGGAAGTGCTCCTAACAGCCTTGTAGCCTCTCGAAGATAAGTACATGCGTCTCCGTATCGATCCGCAAGACTCTACTAGACTTGTTCATGATTCGTGAGACCTAGGTGAACCTAACGCTCTGATACCAAGCTGTTACGGCCCAAAATCCACTATAGGTTGTGATGGCACCTAACGCCGCGTCAGGCAAGCCAACGATGATTTACCAATTTAATTACTCATTTTAGTATTTTGAAATCATAATTTTCCTTAGTTGAACAGTATAAAAGAGAATCTATAGAGTAAATAAAATATTTACAAGATCCACAATAATGAATAACCTGAAGGAACCCCCAAGACTCGGTGTCACAAGTGCATGAGCATTTTTCTAAGGAATATAATAATAATACAACATATGTCCCAAATGTAATATGACAGAATAAAATAAATAGTACAATGGAGACTCGGTGGACTGCAATGCGTAGCCTCGAATGCAGCTCATATAAAGTCTCCTCAACATGTGCGCCCGTGCGAAGGTGATCATCAATGAACCTGTCAGATCATGCACATTTAGTGCAGAAGTGCAGCATGAGTACGTAAATCAATGTGTATTCAGTAAGTATCTAGCCTAACCCCGGAGAAGTAGTAACATGGGGTCGACATCGACACTTGCTAGATGTCCAAATAAATAATATGATAAATTCATAACAGATATGAAGTGTACAACTATAGTGAAGTAAATCTGAAATCCCATAATTAATTTCCAATTTGTTCCCTTTAAAGCATAAATTTTCTCAATCTTGTATTCTTTCTTAATATATCAGAACATGCCAAGTGTCAATACCAAATAAATAGGAAATATCATAAAATGTCGGGCATCAGTGGAAATATTAGGTTGAAAATATTCGGGCTACTAACGATTCAACGCACGATATTGCCGAGGTCGTTCGACCCGATCAAGAATAACGCGTATACTACCGAGGGACGTGTGGCACGATCCATAGATGTATTTATATACTGCTGAGGCATTCGGCATGCTCCACAAGAAAAGGAAGGAAGTACCAAATTACGAGACATGTATTTACAATACCGTACATGGGTACAAAATGGATATAATCTTTACCATTTCTCAAATAACTCGCCCACAACTCAAAGTGTTAAGGATTGGCCTAGTATATATATATATTTATTTCTAGATCAATTTCATTTTCAATTAATTAAGCCAGCAAAATGAGTTCAAATAATTCAAATATTACATGATAAAATCCTAAGTCTACCCGGACATAAACATGTTTTGGCTACGTACGGACTCTCTTCACCTCGTGCGTACATAGCACCCACAACTAGTTGCACATAACAATAAATATCACCTATGGGTAGTTTCCCCCTCAAAAGGTTAGGCAAGAGACTTACCTCGCTCTGAAGTTCCACAACCGGCTCCAAGGCCTCTCTAACACCTCAAACCAAAGCTCGTCGATCCAAAACTATTCAAACAACGTACAAACCAATCAAAAGATACTCTAATACCCATAA